ACCTCCTGTCACCATTCCAGCACCAACAAGGTCCTGGACTTCAGAAAAGTGCACCTGACAGACGCTGAACCGCCTCGTAGGTCCAGGATGCATATACATCTGAGGCCACTGGCTTGCTCTATGACAGCCCCGGGGCCCACGGTCTGGGACTCTGCTCCCCAGGGGACCCGCCTGTGAAGGTGTCCACAGCTCAAGAGGCACAGGATGGAAGAGGGGCTCCCCATTTAATGGCTGTGTGACTCAGGAAGTCGTGCAGCCTCTTGGGGCCTCAGCTTCCCTCTGCAAAATGGGCATAACGGTGATGCCTCCCTCTCAAGGAAGCTGGACACATAGCTCAAGGAGGTAGTATGGCACAGTGATCAGCAGGGGCTGCCCAGGCTGGAAGCCTGCTCTCTGCCTAGCAGCTGGGTGACTGTAAGCAAGTTGCTTAACTTCTCTGTGCCTCTCTTTCTGTCTCCTGTGAAATGGAGATAATCATCCCTATCTCATGTGTTGTGAGGATTAAATGAAAAAAAAAAAAAACAAACCACCTAGTGCTCTTAGTACAGGCCAGGAGACACAGAAGCCCCCTAAGGGCCCAGCTTCCTGACTTTTCACTCCATGCCTGACACCCGGCAAGTCCCCAGTGCTGTGAGGACAGCGGCAGGCGCGCTGGCCAGCATCCCGGTATACACGATGGGACTCCCTTCCCCTTTCGGGGGCAGATGAGAGGCATCCCGTTGGCCCACAGGGCTGTCGGGGCCTCAAAGACCACAAGCCAACCACAGACAGCCTGCATTTTGGGCTTTCCCGGCTAGGCTGGGACTCAGGGTCACCAGCTGGCAATTTCAGAGGAGTGTCCAGGCTGCAGGCCACAGTTTCCAGGGCAGAAAAAGCTTCTCTCTGCTTCCTCTTCCCCCAGCCAGCAGCTGGCACAGGAAGCTCATTAACCAGCCTCCACAGCCCGGAGGAGGAAGAACAAGGCTACGTTTGAAGTCAATGTAAATCCAGAGTGGCTCAGAGCGTCCCCGGCTCGAACCCACCCAGCGACCCCTCATGCAGGCGGCAGAGCCTGGGGCCCCAGGCTGGGGCCATCCTCCACCTGTCAGTGGTGCAGAAAGGAAGATGATCCCTAAAATGCATCCGCAGTCAGTCGCTTGGACTTACCCCTCACACCTGTAAGCTCCTGAAGAACAGGGACCACCGCTGTCCTGTTCCCACCTGTGTCCCCAGAGCCCACAACCATCTTGTACTCAAACATCTACTGGAAAGGAATCTGGTCTTGTCTGCCAAGTGCCCAGAGCTGGGCACCTGGCACACAGCATGTGCCCCCTGACCCTCAGCAGGACCGATGCTCCAGGCCTCCAGGGATCCTGGCACCTGGGACCCTTCTAGAACATGGCTTGTAGTCCAAACGGGGAAAGATGTGAAAAGCTGGATGGAACAGAAACCACGTGACTAAAGCACGTCATTCAAATTAATATTTTCTGAGCACCTACTATGTGTCAGCCAGGGCCCAGAGACCGAGACTCATCATCCTATTTACTACTTAGAGCAGCTCTTGAGCAGAAGCATCAGTGGCTCCCATGTTGCGGACAAGGGACAGATGTCTAGGGAGGTGAAGCAGCTTCCCCAGGGCCACCTGCTGGGTGAGTGCTAGAACCAGAACTTGAACCCAGGACTCCTGGACTCCAGGGCCTGCCTCCCAGGCTGCCCTTGACGATACAGAAGCTCTGTGAATGGAAGCACCGGGCCTCGATTCATTCCTGACACCGCAGCTAGGCTGCTTCCAAGGTGATTGGAGGAAGGCTTCTCCCCTCCTCCCATCCACACCCCTGCTACCCTTGCCGGCCCGTGACTCCTTTCTGGGCCCAGCTTAGGGGACCGCTAGCTCCCTCTGCCCCTCCAGTGCCCTCGGGGCCACCCCCAAGCCCCAGATCACTGCGAAGCCACCAGCAGAGATGAACTGAAAACAAGGTGAGGGACAGTGGGTGGCCGAAGGGCCTGAGGCCAGACGTGTGGCCTTTCTCAGAAGCGCTGGGTCCTCCCCAAGTCCCAATAAACCTCTGCCCCGCACGGGCCTCGCTTCTCCTTGGCCGCTGTACACACCTGAATGGACAATAGCCACACAGCTCCCTTTCCACCCCCCACTCCTCAAAGGAGGCAGAGGCCAGGGTAAGAGGAGGAGTAGGAAGTACCTTGTGGTTTCCAAGGCAACACCTGAAACACACCCGTAGGGAAACAAAGGGAGAGAGAGCTCTCTCCAGGGACACAGGAAGCCCGGCCTGTTCCTGAGGGCAAGGATGGGCAAGCGCTGGCCGGAAGCTCCCTGCACTTGGCTCTGTTCTGAGCTGGGCCCTGAGGAATGTCCCGGAGCCTCTGGCTTGAGGAGGAAGGTGGACAGCAGCCAACAGGAAGCCCTGGGCCGCCAGGAAGCTCAGAGCTCCCCGCAGGAGGGCTCACAGGTGCACAGAGCCCGGGAGCTCCCTGTCCCCAGCCCCTTGCAAGAGAGCAGCATGTGAGACCCCCTGCCCCACCTCGCCCAGGGGGGTAACTTGCCCAGAGTCCTGCAGCGAAGGAGCTCGACCCCATTTCCCACAGCCACGTCTCTGAGAAGCGCCGGGTGCCAGTACGAAAACAAGGGAGGGACGCCAGGCCTCGGGGTCCACCCCACCCGATCCTGCCAAACTCCAGGTTTTGAGGAAACGGGGAGATGAGTGGTCCTGACACGTGGCTGCCCGAACGGCAGCTGTCAAGAAGGGCATGTCCGTTCTTTGGCTTCCTGCGGAGGCCTGGACGGGGCGGGGGGGTCCCATGAAGTGGCCCATGAAAGGTGGCGGTTGTGACCCCATCAGGCCCCACATCTGCAGAACGGGGCCTCTGCCACCCACCTCCTGGGACGGGAGAAGGCAAGTCATGGAATGGTAGCTCCTCCCCAGAGAGGCTGGCTGGACCTCGGCTGCCCCTCCCTCCGTGTGACCGCATCCCAGCCCCCACTGCATCTGGTCCCCAGCCCCTGAAGAACTGAAACCCCGGGGTGCCTGCAGCCCCGAGGCCCTGAGCTTGCCCTGTGTGGACGCGGGAGAGGAAGTGGGCCGGTAGCATTTCGGTGCAGGGCTGGGTGGGAGCAGCTGGGGTTTCGGACTCCAGGCCTATGTCTGGACCACGTATGAACACAGAAGTGAAAAACGCTAAGTGGGGCAGAGCCCTGTCCTGCTTCGTTAGACTCAGAGCGGGCTCTGCTCAGGGGGACACACTGCCCTCCCGGGATCCTGCCCCACAAGACTGTCTCTCCTCCAGTGTGTGTCCAAACAGGTAATTGGATACAGCCTCCCAGGATCTTGAGAAGACCACCCCTTCTTTCAGCACCCCCACACCCAGCCCCAGGGGCCAAGCTCCCACCCAAGCACAGTGTGACTTTCAGGCCACAAGACAGGCTGCTTGAGCACGGCCCTTGCTCCCCCATGGCATCCAGCAGGTGCGCTGATGTGTCGGGGATGTGTAAGACACGCTCCCCTCAGCCTTCTGGTCAACAGAAAAGGACCTGGGGAGCTCTGAACCCTGGGATGGGCCCCTCTGTGACCTCAGTGACAGGAAGAAATCTCACTTTCCTGGTCTGCCCTTAATGTGAAAGAAGGCTGGGAGGTACTGACCGAGAGCCACGATTTCTAGCCTGGCCAGGTCCCAGGAATTCCCCAGAGAAGGGTTGAAAATGCTGAGTCCCAGGTCCTGTCTCAGTCTTTGAAATGTCCGTGTTTTAGAACCAGACTCTGAATTTTGGGAAGAGCCCCTGGGCAGCTGTGATCAGCATAGCCTGGGGCCCTCATCTAACAACTCCGAGGCAGCCCTGTGACCCCAAATGGAGCCTCTACTTCCAAGATAAATGGAGGGCCACCTGGCTGGTTCAGTAGGTTAAGTGTCCAACTTCGGCTCAGGCCATGACCTCAGGGTTTGCGACTTTGAGCCCCACGTCAGGCTCGGTGCTGACAGGTCGGAGCCTGGAGCCTGCTTCAGATTCTGTCTCTCTCTCTCTCTCTGCCTCCTCCCTGTTCACACTGTCTCTCTCTCTCTCTCTCAGAAAAAAAAAAAAAACAACAACTATGGTGGCAGAGTACTGTATGGATAGAGTACTGTATGGATAGTACCTGGGGGGCAGGAGTCTTCCTGGAAAATGGGGATAAAGGACTATGTAGCCTCTCTCTCCCCAGAGCCACCTCCCAGATTACGTGCTTTGTGAGCCTGATGTTAAGCAGAATTCTCAAAAAAAAATAAAACAAAAAACCCCAGAATTCTCTTCAGACAAACATCAAGTTCTGGATCAAGAAAAAAAAAAAAAAAGGAATTCTGTTGCCTTTCAGGATGGCCAGATGCCAAGATAAAAACTCCAAGATGGGGGTCTTTATCTCCTATTTAGCACTTGAAGAAAGTTGGTTAAAGTTGAAGGTACCCTGGGTGTGTTTGAGGTTCCTCTTGTATGTGAACTCACTGCACAGACACCTGCTAATCACCTACCATGTGTCATGCATGAGCAAAACAGACAAAGACCCCTGCCTTTTTTGGAGGGGACATTTAAACAGAGACCCGAAGAAGGTGAGGGAGCAAGCCCTCTGGACCGCTAGGGAAAGTGCTTTCCAGCGATGGGCAAGTGCAAAGGTCCTGAGGTAGGGCATACATAGTATATTCTAAGGTGAGCAGGTCCACAAAAACAACGGGGTTGGTTGCTTTTTCTTACCGCAAAAGAGAGACCAGTCGCCCTCGGCACTGAAGCGCAGTCACTGGGGGTTACTGGTACCCCTCCCCACCATGTCTCCAGCCGGCCTGCTCTGTGGCATGCAGGCTCCCCCACACCCGATTGCAGCCCTACCCCATCAATACTTAGGACACACTTATCAAGTGCCTCCAAAGAGTTCCGGGGACCTAATGTCGACCCTTCACACAGCCCCCCCACGGCTCCTCGTGGGTCCAAGCTTCCGTCCTGAAGACCTCAGCTTAGCCTGAGGGCCCTGCACCCCAGGACTCACCAGGCATGGAGAAGGGGGACAGGAAGGCAGCCTCGACGGACTCGGGCTCTGGGGGTGGCGGCGGAGGTGGGGCTTGCTGTTCCTGTTCCCGCGAAGGGTCCTCGGGGTTTTCCACCGGAACATTCCCGTTCTCGATATTTTCATGTCTCCCATTCTGAAGTGGCTTGCTGCTCGCACCATTTGCCGAGTTGATCAGTCTCTGCCGCTGTGTGGACGGGAGGCAAGTCAAAGGCCAAGACATGTTACGAAGTGGCACACTGTGGCTTTGCTCCTTACAAGCACACAGCCCTGACCGGCTTCTGGAACACACCCCTGGGGGTCAGTTTGCCTGACAAATGGCCCAAGAACCTTTGAGATCATCTAAGTTTGCTCGTTTCCATTTGCGGGGATCATTCCAGCTCCTCCAGTGGGCATTTATAAGCTGCCTGAAGATAGAAGTCCCAGGAAGAGCCTGCATCATTGTTTTTAATTTTTCAAAAGTATATTGTGCATGCTAGGAATTTAACCAAGGGATACAGAAATGCTGAGGCATAGGAGCACATGTACCCCAATGTTCATAGCAGCACTCTCCACAATAGCTAAAACATGGAAAGAGCCTAAGTGTCCATCAACAGATGAATGGATCAAGAAGATGTGGTTTATCTATACCATGGAATACTACATGGCAATGAGAAACAATGAAATCTGGCCATGTGTAGCAACATGGATGGACCTTGAGGGTGTTATGCTGAGCGAAATAAGTCAGGCAGAGAAGGACAAATACCATATGTTTGCACGTATAGGAGGATTAGGAGGAACTTGACGGAGGACCAAGGGGGAGAAGAAGGGCGGAAATGGTGGGGGAAAGGGAGAGAGGCAAACCATGAGAGACTCTTGAATGCTGACAAAAACTGAGGACTGATGGATGTGGGGGGGAGGGGGGGATGGGCATGAAGGAGGGCACTTTGGGGATGAGCACTGAGTGTTATGTAGAAACTAATTTGACAATAAACTATTTGTAAAAAAAAATAAAAAAATTAAAAAAATAAAATAAAACAGTGGTTCTCAAATTTCAAAAAAAAAAAAAGTATATTGTGCAAAAAGCACACTTATAGGAAGCATATAGCTCAATGGTGTCCTACATCAAGATGTAGAACATTTCCTGACCCTCAGAAGACGCCCTCAGGCACTCCCTAGTTTATACGCCCTTTGGTAACCAAGGTAACCACTCTTCTTTTACAAACATCAGTTAGCTATTCTTGAACTTGAACTTCATATAAATGGATCTGAGTAACGTGTATTACACTATGCCTGGCGTCTTTCATGCAACATCTGTGAAATTCACCCGTGGTGCTGCACGACTCAGCAGTTTGAGATTTTTCATGGCTGTAGAGTAAACCATAGCACGGATAACCCACAACGAACGCATCCTTCACCGAGTGAAGGGCATTGGGCTGCTTCCCTTCTGTGGATATTAGGAAGAATGCTACCATGACCACTGGTATACTTTTTGGACATACACACTCATCTCCCTTATGTATTTAGGAGTGGAATTTCTAGGTCATATAGATGCATGGTGAATCATTTCTCACTCGAATCAGCAATGGATTGGAATCTCCATTGCTTCCCATCCATCCTTGTTAACACTTGACACTGGCAGCCTTTTTATTTATTTAAGTTTATTATTTTGAGAAAGCGTGTGTGCACAAGTTGGGGAGGGGAGAGAGAGGAAGAGAAAAGAGAATCCCAAGCAGGCTCTGCACTGCCAGCACAGAGCCCGATGGGAGGCTCGAACTCACGAACTGTGAGGTTGTGACTGGAGCTGGAGTCGGACACTTAATCGACTGAGCCACCCAGGCACCCCTTCAGTCCTTTTAATTTGAACCATTCTAGTGGGTGAGTGGTGGTGTCTAATCATGGCTCTGTTTGCATTTCCCTGCTGACTAACGATGTTGAGTCATTACAGGATGGCACGACCAGTGGGATGGCCTCTGCTGTCCCAATCTTTTGCCATGACTACTGAGTGTGCCCTGAACCCACTCAGCCCCTTCCCTGTCCCATCTCATAGTGAATGGCAAGGTCGGCCCCCTTTCTACCCAAGCAGAGGCCTGGCTTCCTCACCAAATCTGTGGGCTTCTATAAGCCAGGGAAAGGCAGAAGTCACGTTTCAAGAAATCAATAGCTTTCTACTTTCCAAAGAATCTGTTCACCTTTGCACACTTCCCCTTCGTTCCGTTCTGACTACAAACACCAGTGGATCAGTCTGTGTGAGGCCTTGGAGGTACAGACTGTCACACAATGGACAAATATATACCTCTCCCAATTCTTCACCAGAAACGAAGGGTCAGTAAATGTGTCCCCAAGGCGCTATCCTCTGTGTGTCCAATGCCTATCCTCATGGTTACCGGAAGTAAAAACATCATTAAGACAGACGTATGTTATTTCTCTAAAAAAAGAGGAAGTGACCATTCATCTGCCTTCACGTTGGTTTTAGGCAGGAACTCCTAAATCATGAAGCCGAGGGTGGGGGTGAAGATTTTAAAATTCTTTTCTTACAAGTGTATCCACAATACTCAGCCTACTAAAAAGAGCAAAAAGATCTACGCCTGTGACTCAAGGCCACATGTGCAAGAATAGTGTTTTGCTGCCTGAGTAACAAACCCAAGTAGCATTAAAAGACCGGTCATCCCTATAGCTAAAAGCAAAAACCTTCCTATGTAAAGACAGAATTATAAAGAGGGAGGGAGGCACGACTTAATGGCAATATGAATGGTAGCAATGCGAAGGGGTCATGATTCTAGCTTAAGAGGAACCAACAGAGAATTGTACCTGGAGAAATATCTAAAGCTACCTAAGGTTGTATTAAAAGAGGCATAGATTGTAACACAAAGGAGGTGATGGATCCACATGCTGAGAGAAACAAACTGGAAGATGGTGACTGGAATCCTTTACACCAGGGAGGTTCCAAGGATGTTCAGATTCAAGGAGAAAATCAGGGGGTTGTAACTACTGCCTGATGTTCAAGGGGCTGCCACATGGAAGAAGCCATTGAAAGCAACTCAAGCAGGCGCTAGGTATTATAGAAGGAATAAAGATACAGAAAGAAGGGGCAGAGGAGGTGGACTAACTGATCCCTAATGGTCTATGCAGTCCCATTTAAACAGTCTAGACTCAGATTTGGGTGGGAATTCCCATTCTGCCCTCATATTAGTTGTGTGGCTTCGGGCAAATTACTCTGCCTCTCTGATAAATTGGAAATAACATCTGCTTCGGAAGGTCATGAAGAGGCTTAATGCTGTAACACATGTAAAATATCCTGCACCTACCTGGCACTCAGCAGGTGCTCAGTGAACTACAGCTAGATGTACCCAGCTCAAAGAGACCACCACCCAGGTGTGAGAAGGGTTCACGAGGCAGGGGAAACTGAGGCTGGGTGAAATTCTGTGTCCCTCAGCAATTCACTGCAGTGGCTGTGGGTGAGGACAGTCAGGTGTAGCCTTGGAGCAAAGAAAAACCATACTGCTCACACATCTCCCCCCTCCCCCAAGCACCCTCCTGCCCCCCTCCCTTGCCCAAAACCCCTCTCCACTGGTCTGCCCTCTCCGATGAACAAATGAGGGCATCCATCCCACAAGTACTAGAATCTACCACGGATTAATTTCAGCTTTGCGCACATTGCTAACATTTGGGAATTAAACTATCTGAACATTTGAATGAGACCAAGGGTCTGAAGAAACAACTTCAGCGAGAAACTGAGGCCTGGGAAGATTAAGCGAGTTAGTGGCTAGTGTGAGATTAAAACTCAATTGCCGGGGGCGCCTGGGTGGTTCAGTTGGCTCAGTGCCCAACTTCAGCTCAGGTCCTGATCTCGGGGTTCGTGAGTTCAAGCCGCATGTCAGACTCACTGCTGCCAGTGCAGAGCCTGCTTCAGATCCGCTGTGCCCTCTCCCTGCCCCTCCCCCAATTGTACTGTCTCAAAAATAAACATTAAAAACAAAACAAAATGATTTCCTCCATTTCCTCTGCCAGCCTGGCGTCTCTGGCTCCCCAGTACTGCCTTCCAGGGCAGTCAATCCCAAGCCGGGGGAAAGCAGGGTTTTGCCAGCTCACCAAAACCCCCCTTATTTCCCTGGTGCATAGCCCATGAAAAAGATACTATATACCCAAATCCTTCAGAGTGGTCCCAATCCCCACTCAATGGGTACGATTATCATGTTCATGAAAAATAACCGGAATTCAGTACAATTTCATTGATTCGTATTTTACTGATTTGGATCCAAAAAGGATTCAGAAGGATCCAACATTTGCAATGTTTCTTTATCGTTTTTAAGTTTATTTATTTAGTTTGAGAGAGAGAGCGCGAGCTGGGGAGGGGCATAGCGAGAGGGAGAGAGAATCCCACGCAGGCTCCATACTGTCAGCGCAGTGCCCGACACGGGGCTCGAACTCACAAACTGGGAGATCATCACCTGAGTTGAAAAGTCGGATGCTTAACGGACTGAGCCGCCCAGGCACCCCTGCGGTGCCTCTCTTTCTTAAAACACCTTCCAGATGGAGGGCATATAACGTATGAACCCAAAAGCGCTCAAAGTTACAGACCCTTTAAGCCCCGTGCAATGTCATCGCTGCACACGTCTGCTGTGATAACAACTGATTATTAGCTATCAAAGTTTCAAGCTCTCTGATAACCCCCTGGGTCTGAGGGTGAGGGCTCACAACTCTAATACCACGTGCACATATGTGGCAAAGACTGAACAAGCTGGTGAGGGATTAGAACCCGGCATCTTGGTACACTGTTTGTGTATTATGTAACATTACAACTTCCCCCCACCCCCATGAAAAAGAGGACACAAAATTTCAGCAGAACATAGGGTGCAGAGTGAAAAGGAAGTTTCCAGAGGTAACTGCCATCCACCCTTGTTCTTGGTTCTCTTCTAGAGTTGTACAGTATGTAGGGAACAGGTACCTGTTCATCTCTTTTTGTTCTAAGTAACACTTTTTTTTTTTAAATATTTCTTATTTATTTCTAGGAGAGAGAGAGAGACAGCGTGAGCAGGGGAGGGTCAGAGAGAGAGGGAGTCACAGACTGAAACAGGCTCCAGGCTCTGAGCTGGCTGTCAGCACAGAGCCCGACATGAGGCTCGAACCCACAAACTGCGAGATCATGACCTAAGCGAAAGTCGGACGCTTAACCGACTAAGCCACCCAGGTGCCCCCTAAGTAACACTTTAAAGGAATAACCCATACTTCCGACTGGCCTTCCTCCAATTAGCTTTAGTTTTTTTACTTTACTTTTTACAATGTACTTTATTTAGGGCTCGACAAAATACTCGGTGGACATCTTGGGAATGGCATTCGATTTCTGCCTGTCTTAACCCACCTCTAAAAACAATCGTTTGCTGCCCGCAGGTAATGTCTGCGCCTCCTTCCTTAAACAGGTGCAGCAGTAAAGGCCAGCCTGGCGAAGGACATCATGGTGGCCTTAACGTCAGGAAGCATCCTGACAAGCCGGGGCCTCCTCAAAGCCCCACACGTCATCCAAGGCCACTCACTCTCAATGCCCTTTATGCAAACTTACCTCTTTAATTATGATCCTACTGGCCATCCGTAGTCGGGTCCTGGGCCCAAACTTATTGGTGATCATTATGCGTAAGCCTGCGTCCGGGAAGCTGAACTTGGGAGGGCTGGAGCTCATGACCTCATCCACCATCACCACCGGGTTTTTGCTGTACTGTGGCTCCTCCTTCACTATATTGAGCACAACGCCACAGTCAGTGCGAGATCTCCCTAAGGACAACACCCCAGCACTGAGCTCACGACTTCCCCTCACGCTGCAGAACTGGACTATGAGCCCCGCACCTGCCGGCAGCCTGACTTAGTCCCAGTGGATCGCCTCCCAGCTTGGACTATTAGCCGGGGCCCCGTGGTGCCTTGCTATAGGACCACTCGCGAGCAGACCCTCCACATCTAGCCCCTCTGCCAGGCGATGCCCCCTCTCTTTGGGGCCCCTCTTGGCCAAGTGCAGGTCTTTCTGGTTTCGCATCGAAGCCTCCCTGGGAAGCCCACCTACAATTCAGACACGGCCCCTCCCACCCTGAGCCTGTGAGCGGATCTTTCTTACCCTCTGTTGACAGAGGCTCAGAGGAAACTTTAGAGACTGACAAGGGCCCTCTAGGATGAAAATGCTAGAAAGCACCACACGGCACTGGCTCCAAACTTCCCACAAGGCCACCTGCTGTTCAGACAGCCACCTCCACCCGGCAGAGAAGGCTACGTCTAACTCTGCTCTCCCCAAGGCCCGTAATGAGGGCATAGACACGGCTCACAGGCCCTGAACGAGGCAAGTGAGGCCCAAGAGGAGAGCCTACTTGCTGAGGGCTCACAGTGAACTGCTGGCCGCATCCAGTGTCTCCGATAAACAGACACTGTCTAGCAGGGAGGTGGCTCTGACCCTTCGCTTCCCCCTCATAAGGCTGAAGAATAAAATCTCTCCAGGCCTCCAGCCTCTTCCTCGCCACCTTCACATACATGCTCAGGGTTGGGGTCTAGGGGGATCTGACATCTAACTCCTGAGCCCTGGAGGGGCCAGGAATGGGACTACTCCGGAGCACAGCACACAGAAGCAGGTGGAGTTTTCCCCTATGCACTGGTCACCAGCTCCCCGTGAGGGTAGGGGAGGCAAGCGCAAACCCCTGCGAGAGTTAATGGCACAGACGTGCACAAATGCACACCAGACACACACACTCTCACCAAACAGGCAGCAAGGCTCAGCAGACAGGGGGCGTGTGGGTTAGAAACAGAGCCAGGGAGGACCATGCGTTTGCTGGAGACAGACACTAACCTCCAGTGAGGCGTGCGCTGAAGTCAAGGTTGGCTGGTTGGTTTTTGTAATGCACGTGTTATCGTTTGGATGAAAGCAGATTACTTACAATTTAGAAGAGGAGAGTTAAGGAGACAAAGGCCAACAGAGATTGCCAGAAGGGATTAGCGTGCGGTGGATGCCGAGAGCCTGGGGCAGCATTCTTGATGGTGGCCAGGGGTTATTTGAAGGACGAGTTAGTAGAGGAGTTGCTGCTACAGGGATTTCAATGCTCAGGACCCCCGGCTTTGAGGATGGCCCCTCTCCCAGCCGATTTCCCTGGCTCTGTGCAACTCTGAGGTGCGGGAGCCTCCGGCCCACCACCCCTCACTGCTGCAGGAAAGCTGGAATCCCTCCCTCTTGGGGAGACTGCAGGCTCCAGGCTCCATCCAGGTCCAGTCTAGGACCAGCGCTGACACACGCATCCCTTGGGGGCGGGGGGCAGACACTGGGTTCAGAAGGGGGGAGCCTAAGGAGTTTTAGAACAACCCAAACATCTGGGGGCGCCTGGGTGGCTCAGTCGGTTAAGCATCTGACTTGGGTTCAGGTCATGATCTCATGGTTCGTGGGTTTGAGCCCCGTGTGGGGCTCTGTGCTGACAGCTCAGAGCCTGGAGCCTGTTTCGGATTCTGTGTCTCCCTCTCTCTCTGCCTCTCCCCTGCTTGTGCTGTCTCTCAGAAATAAATAAAAATATTAAAGAAAAAAAAAAGAAACCCAAACATCTGAACAATGAAGCTGGAAAATGTTATCCTCCCCCCGCCCCCTGCAAAAAAGAGAGAGCTGGTCTGAGACGATCTGGTGAACTGAACCATATGACCTTTAAGAACATTTAAGCATACAAAGGCATTTTGCAAGAACGGTAGTAGCAAGGTCAGAAACGTGTCAAAGAGGTTGCGCTAAAAATGTTGATTTGATACGGGAAGCGCTGAAACCGGTAACAGGAAAGCCAGAGCTGTGCGCACGCGCCTGGGTTCTGGACAAACCACCGGCCAGCAATCTTGGACTTCCTTGGATGGGTGGGTACGGGGGACCTGCCTGCAGGCTGAGGACCAGGGAGGGGGGCGCTCTCTGCATCGCATCGGGAAGATTCACAGCAGCCCCCCGAGAAAAGGCTGAGTCCCGAAGCCCCTTTCTCAGCCCCTGCAGGGTCCTGGGGGCTTCTTCCACCTGCCTCAGTCTATTTGAGGGGGCGGTGCCCTGCGGCGACTGGCACACAGGGTCCTCCAGCAGCCACATCTCTGGGATCCCCTCTCTCCAATTCCAGGCCCGCACCTGGACCTTTTTCTCCTGGGCCTTTATCTAAACGCCTACTCCCTGATCAGAGTTGGAGGGAGGCCTATCTGCATCCTTTCCCTGTGTTGGGGGTGGGGAGGGCTTTCCTGGGTCTAATCTTCCAGGTTTCTAGAAATTATCCTGGACTTAGATATTTGGGGGGAAATAGGAGAGGTCCTACTGGCCTGGGTACAAAAGGAATGGAGACAGAGCTAGGAAAGATCTCCAGGAAAGGCCCCAGGAGGGCAGCGGGAAGTGGCTAAGGCACCACCTATCCTGCCTGTGAGGACTGTTCCCCACAGGACACTGGGGAGGGGCGCCCTCCACCCCCCACACGGCTGGTAGGTAGCTTTCGGGCCGGCACCTGAAGGACTGGGCTGCTTCCACCACCTGGAATCTCTTCTTTGCCACGAAGGTGCAGAGGGCCCCAGGGCACTAATCCCTGCACACAGGACCGGGCAGAAATCAGCCTCTGACCTGAGACACTGTGGGTGGTGGTGGTGGATCTGTAACAGGGACCTCAGAGCCACTGGATCTGCGGAGCCGAAACGCAAGCCGGCGCCACATCGGTCCCTCCGCCCTGAGAAGGCTGTCCTGGAAATGGGCTCAGCCCTTGGTAGGCTGCTGGGCACTTATGCAACAGGACACCCAGGCACAGCCCCCGGCTCCATGGGACTCCTTTCTCTGACTGTGGGGGTGGGGGCAGGGGGTACACTGGTACCTTCTCCCCAGGGGGTTACTTTAGAGAGAGGGCAAGGAGCCCTGCCCTGATCCACCCAGGAATGAAGACGAGCAAGGGGCCGAGGAGTACAGATTTCAGCCCCCATATGTCCCAGATTCCAAGGAGGAGTTAAAGTCACCTGAAAGAGGATGCGACCTTGCCCAGGGGCACAGGAGAAAGACCCTCAGGCGGCCAGTCCCCCTGTCACTCTGGTTAACAAGGAACTCGCTACGCCAGCCTCCTCTGCTTTCCCAGCTCCTCGTCAGGAGACCCCTTCGGACCCTCGCACTTGCTCGCTTGGGCGTTGAGAATGGAGGTGCTCTGGTCCTGCTGAGCCGGCCCCACAGAGGGACTCACTTAGTACTGGGTGGGATGAAGATGCGGTTTCCAAAGCAGGAGCCGGCTGGGCCTAGAGGATGGGGGGAGCTCAGCAGGGACAGCAGGGGCTGGCTCCCGAGGCCTGGAACCCCAGACGACAGGGCCCAGGAGAAGCCCAGGAGGCCAGGCAGCAGCGCCCCTGGGGCGGGGCTCCCGGACAGGGCATCCCGGCTCTGCTCCGTGGCTGCCCTCCGTGGCCGCCCTCCGCGGCCTCGCTGGTCCTCTGGGCGACGAGCCAGAGGACCCCCCAGAGCAGAGTCCTCCCCCTGCAATCACAGGGAGGCCTGAGCCTGCTGTCACCCCCAAGTCATCAGTCTCCTGCCAGGCCTTTCTCAGGAGTCAGTGACAACGAAATTGGCTGCATTTCACAAAAGCCCCGCAGGCCTGGAGACTCCCTCCAGAGGCTCGGAACGCCCCCAGGGTGTGACAGTTGACTTTGTCCATCCTTCTCCCTTCTGTGCAAATACCAATCTGAGCCACACCTCATTGAGGGCCCTGGGATCCAAAGTAAGAGATTGACAATTTAGAGGGAGGCTGTGCATGTATGTGTGTGTGTGTGTGTGTGCGCGCGTGCGTGTGTGTGCAGGAAGGAGCATGGACGAGGGGTTTTGGTGACACCTTTCGGCCACTCCTGTCTGCTCAGCCTTACCTTGCCCCAGCAACGGCATGGAGGGGTCATCAGAGCTACTATCACAGTAATCATTACCATCCCCCAGCTCACTGTTGACCGTGTTGCCATTTGCAATGGTCTTTTGTTTGATGGTGAAAAAGGCCTGCATCTTCACGTTGTACCTGTAAGTTAAGGCAGGAGGTCAGAGCCATGGGAGACACCTGGCAGGCTCAGCGGGGCTCCCGCCGCCCCCCTGCACGTTGGCTGGCCCTGGGAGTGTCCCAGGGAGGAGCCGAGGGCTATCATCTGAGCTGATGGTCCCAACAGGACCCCTAGAACAACGTGTGGTCGGAGGGCTTGCTCCACGGAGCTGTTAGTGGCCTTGTGGGGGCATAAGGAACCTGGAGTCCCAAGAACATGACTGATGCCCCCTTACACATGTCTGAAGCCTGTCCTAGTAAATGAAGTTCAGATCAGCCTCAAGGACAGGCTCCAAGGAGGTGTCACCAGACCTGTCCTCCCTCCCAAAGCCTTGGGTCCCGCTCCTGTGGGCTGCCCGGAGGGCTGTCCCTGAATCAGCCACAGCTGGACCCAGAGAAGACACCAGGCCCAGAGAAGACACCGGCCCCATCTCAGACCCCAGGCTTCCCTGCTGCACTGAAAGGCGCTCGCCGAGTCGCCGAGGGGCTCAGGTGAGCACAAGCCTCCTGCACTTGACACTTTATCACCCATTTTCGCAACACATTAGAAACGCTTGATATAAATGTGGGGATCCGTAGTGTCGTAAAGCTCAGTGTTGTTTTAATTATTTCTGGAGGTGTGAACAGGAAGATAAAACCCGAAGGTGATGATTCAGCTCATGGGTAGTTTTTCCTTTTTTTTTTTTTAATGTGGAAAAATGTAGGCAATATCAAATTTGCTTTTTTAACTATTTTTCGTTGTTAAGCGTACAATTCTCTGGCATTCAGTACATTCGCAAAGTTGGGTAACCATCATATCACCATTATTTACTCCCCAAACGGTTTCAGCATCTCAAGCAATTCTGTGTCCGTTGATCAATTAATCAGTGATCACCTCCCTCCCCCCCCCCCCTCCCCCTCCCCCCGACACCTCTGGTAATCTTGAATTTACTCTTTTACTAAAATGAATGGGACTCTCCTAGGGGACCTCGCCTAAGCGGAATTACCCGATATGTGTCCTTCTGTGACTGGCTTCTCTAATTTAGCATGTTTTCAAGGCTCATCCATGTTGTCCCATGTGATACAATTTCCTCCCTTTTTTATGGCTGAACAGTATTTCTCATGGGAGGTTTTGAGAGCACTCTGACCCAGGCAGCTTCCAAAGGGTTGCAAGCAGGCACAACCCGGACCCAGTGTCTGCATTTCCATTACTATGAGTGGCACCCTCTGGAGTTGTGCAAGGCAGTGGCCCTGACAGGTGGCACTGGATAAAGCCTGTAACAGAAGTGAGGCCACCCGGCTCTTTGACAAAGCACTGTATTAAGTCATCAGGAGATTTACAGCGACAGTGGAAAGGAGTGGCCACTCGGGCAAGGGGAAATTAGCACGGAGCAGGGAAGGAGAGAGGGTGAACAACCTCATCTTCCATCCACCAGCCGCGACTCCCCTGGCCCGGGTTTGGACAGCACCCCAAAACAGTATCTGAACCCGTCATCCCAGTGGGGCATCCTCCAGAGAACTGGGGCTGGCTGGAAGTCACCGGAAGGTCTATCATTAGTTTTGCCTGGGCTCTAACAGAAGGCCAGAGCGGGAAGCGGAAGAAGGCGTCAGACCGCCCAGCAGGAGGAGAGAGAAGATACTTACTTCATGATCAGAATGTAAAACACGTACAAGATGATGAGCACCAGGCCTTCCCACCTCAAAGAGAGAAAGGAGACACGTTAGGGCTGGGGAGGCCCAAAGCACCGAGGCACGGGTGGGGGGTGGGGGGGTGGAGCGGGGCAGGAAGTAGCCCAGCCCAGGACTCTGGCATCCAGGGGAGTCCCCCCAGCCTGTCCTATAGCCTGAAGCCCTCTTGGGGACAGAGAAGGCTGGGGATGGGTTCTTCTCCACTACAGGGGGCCTGCAGGACTCAGACAGCTCCTCCAGCTACGGAGGAGGAGGAGGAGAGACTGGGAGAGTGGCCTGAGTCATGCAGACGTGACACCCTATGCTCACCAGAGATTCCGACCAAGGACCAGAAAGTCTGCGGGTACAGAAGGGGCCCTAAGAACTGCCTGAAGAGAGGGGCGGGCACAGGAGCCTCCTGGGTCGAACACACTGGGGTGGGGTGGGGCGGGGCGGGGCCGGGGTCTTCCTGGGAGTCACATCACTGCCGTCTAGCAGAGGCAGCACTCAACCCCACATGCGGTGGGGGGATCTGGAGCTCAGACCACAGGCCTCTGAGGAGCCACACACCCTAATTTGTTTGCTCATCCTACAGATACATGCTGAAGGCCTACTACGTGCTGGGTATAAGGTGTAATTGTTTTGGGAACTCTTCCTCTACTAACAGAGGCCGCAGACCAGCAGAGCCACAAAGAGACTTGTGGATGACCCCACGGCCACCACCCTCAACTCCATCGAGGAGTGGCTTCCCAGCTCACATGGTGGGCTAGGGGCTGGCTTAGGGCCAAAAGCAGGTTTCTCTGTGCCCAGAGCACATGGCTGCTCATGTCAGCCGGGGGAGTGTCCTTAGCCAGTCCCTCTGAGTCCATTCCCACAAATAAACACAAGTGTGGACTCTGAATCACAGTCACAAAGAGAACATTTCTAGGGTTTACGAATGTATGATACATTCATGCCCTGTAGGGCGAATACACCCATCTTTTCTGTACAGCTTCTGCTTTATGTATCTTAATCAAGGAATCATTTCCTATCTCGAGGTCATAAAGGTCAGTCCCTATATTTTATTCTATTTTGTTTAATCTTGCTTTTTACTTGAGATCCTTAATTCTTCTGGGATCTATTCCTGTATAAGGTGTGAGGAAGGGATCTGATGTGATTCTGTTCCACACAGGATTCCTAGTTTTACCAGAAGTATCTGAGACCCTCTCCCTACTTCACTGCCTATCTGACAACTGTCATATCCCCAGCCAAGAAACAGGCCCACTACTGGGTCCCTGGTTCTGCATTTCATAGCGGCCTATGCTTGTCCCGGTGAAAATACCATACTGTTTTCGTTTCTTTAGCTTTAAACACCAAGGGAAACAAGCTTGTCACTTTGAAAGAACAAAGGCGTGCCCTTTTTACGAGTTCAAAAGTTCAGGTTTCTAAAGACAATTTCAAAAAAAGATTCAATGAACCCAATGAGGAAGAATACTAGCAAAAACAGGAACAAGAAACAAACTAAAAACTTACCACACAATTTCTTCATCATATATGAACTGGAAGGCAAAAGAAACAAGAGAGAGGAACATATTTATTCCAGAAGACAATACACAGGCCCCTAAATGGTCTAAGCTCACATATTATTGCCCTGTTATTTTTACACAAAGCTGGGCTCCTCTCTCCATTCCTGGTTTTCTTAACTGGAGGAGGTGAGCTTAGACCTTCGTTGAAACCTGGATCAGAAGATGCTGGACTGTGTAGCTCGGCTCAGCCTCCCAGGAGAAATGGCCTGTGCTTCACGGCGGCCTGATGGCAAACTGCCATCACCAAGGGCACAGCCTTGCTGAAATCAACACTCTTAAAAACAAAAAAGGCACCTGCGGGTCTGCCTACAAACTTACGCACCTACCTATCCAGGGCACCTGTGTGTGAGGAAGGGAAGGGTTATCATTTTCTTAGAATAGAAAATGGAAAATCTGAGGGCAAAGGACTCACTGGTGCTATACGAAGGGAGGCCACAGGTGAGGGTGGGAACATCACGATTTCTGAAGAGGCCAGTGACATTGCCCAGCAACCCCACCCAGCATCTCTGGCCCAGAGCGAGATGGATGGCGCCTCTGTGGTCCCCGGAGGGGTCCTGTGACCACCCCGGCTGGGCCCAGCGTGGACAGGGAGGTGGAGGGGCTGTGCCCACCAACTGATCTTGGGGACATAGAGTCCCCCACACAGGATGTCAGAAGAAGCCAGGGGGTTGCTGTCTGGACCTGGGCCCATTGTGCTCTCCCGGCTGTCATAGCAGGTGTCACACATAGGAGCCGCAGTGAGCGCCACTTCCAAGAGGGTCATTCCTGGCCAAGCATCACTGGGAGGCTCTCTGAACCCCAGGGTACAAGGCAGAGGCACTCAACAGCGGGGTGCCCAGTGCCCCCATGCCCTGCCCTGAACATGAGAATCCCTGTGGGGGATATTTTTAGGTTTTTTACAACCCTATGAAAGGTTACTGGTATTTAGAAGCAATGAAGGTCCAGGGTACTGACCAGTCTAGAACTTGTAAGATATTTCTATCAGAAGGGGTTTTCCACACTTGGCATACGTCCTATTTAAAGGTCTTGCTAAATATTCAGGCAAACGGGGAAAACAAAACAAAACCAAACCCGAGCCTCAGAACTTAACTCTATTTTACAAACCCAAGTACTTATGCTTTTTTAAAATTACATATTTAATAAATGTTTAATTTTCTAGGGAGGTTGCTATCATGTAAATGGAGGGACAGTTGTACTTGGGCTCTGTCCACGATTTCATCAGAAGTCATTCATAATTTTGAAAAGTCACGTCATCACTGTCAGGACCACTCGTGGGGTCTAAGGCACCAGCCTGGCACCCAAGCTCAGTCGGTGCCGGTAGTTTCTGGGCTCAGAGATTTTCCTTACAGGCCAGCGGAGGTCACCATTCAGTGTTGACATTTACAACATTTACACACTGAAGAATGTTTTTGTCTTTTAGACTTTGAGCTTCATGTGGATTCTTTTCCGCACCTGTGTACGGGTCAATGATTTTATCTGTAACTTTCATTTTTGGAGGTGTGGGAGGCAGGGGTCCAAGTAATCCCCTGCATGACACTCATGCCACCCCTGGGTATGTGACCTGGACCTGGGGATTGGCTCCTTATGAAGAGAACAGGGCAAAAGTGAGGCGTTATCACCCCCGAGATGAGGTTACGGAGAGAACGTGGCTTCGCCCTGGTTCCTTCTCACCCTTCCTCTGAGGGAAGCCAGTTGCCGTGTTGTGAGCTGTGCTGCGGACCAGCCAGCCAAGCGGGATCGGACGGCATTCTGTAGCCCCACAAGTGACCCCAAAAGCAGATCCCCGCCCAGGGGAGGCTTGTACCAGGGCCAACGTCTGTGAGAAACCCTGAACCAGCGGATGCAGGCAAGCCGCTCCCAGATTCTGATCCACAGACAAGAGCGATCAATACTTGCTATTTTAAGCTACTGAACTGGGGGGAGATTTGGTTCCCAGCGACAGAGAATGCAAGGGGTGACTGTCCTATCCAGCTGGCTCTCGACTGTGTAAGGTGTCTGTGGGGGGTCACATTCCACATGCACCTGTCCTCACGCCGCCACTTGGATTGAAACACGGCTCCCTTGTTGGATGGTGCTCTCTCTTCAGCAGTAGCTGGCATCCTGCGCCATGATGTCACCTTAGTCCTCGGGGGACCGCAGCGATATCCCCCTCGCTCTCCACACTAATGAACTCTAGAAATCACTGTTGCAGCTCTTCTGCCTTTCGTCCCCGTTGCCCTGGCTGTCCCCTCTGCCTGCCCCCGGCCTGCTTCTCTCCCTCCTGCTCTGCAGCGAGGAGCTGTGAGCCCAGAAACTCTGACCCTCAGGGAACGGGCGCCGCGTGAGGATCGAGGGCCCCTGATGAGCTTGAACGTAACTGCACGGACCGTGTGACACAGTCCCTGACTTTTTCAAGGCCTTTTTGAATCCAAGGCGGGCCCGGGGTGCGCTCCATAACCAGGGTGTCAGGTAGGAGGCTTTCAGGCAAGGGAGGAACAGCGGGGAGGGACTGGTCACTTTGAGTGGTCAGCACAGCCCGCGGTCGGGGTGCCGTGGGTCCTCTGGTGGTAGCGCCAGGGACGGAGATGGGCAGGGGCGGGAAGGAACTCACAGCAATGAGCACGATGACAGAGAGGGTGTAGTACACAGAGTCTCGGCACACGGCCCACCACGTCAGGCGCACCACCTGCCAAGCAAAGGGCCGTCAGTGGCTACTGTCTGGGGAGACGGGGGCGGTGGTGTGGGGGGCGGCTTTCCCACCTCCCCCAGACCCCCACAGGTGCAGGGATGTGCCCAGGGAGCAACTCCTAACTGTGCCACCGGAAACCAAGCTTTCCTGGCTGCGCAGGGCCACCCCGTGCTCTTTGCTATATACATGGGGAACAGAAGAGAAAGCGTGGACCGTTTGCAGGTGACTGCAAAGCCACTTTCTGCTCCTCCAAGGTAGCAGACAGCTCACGTTTCACAGCGGAAGCCCGGTGTCAAGGCATAGGCCAGAGGCACTTGCTTCCCCTGTGATTGTGGAACCTTCTCGTCGTGACTAGCTGCCCATCTCTACTTCCGTTGGCCAGATAGGGCCTAATCATGAGCCTGACTCTCTGGGGGCGAGTCTAATGCCCCCACGGCCCTGAGGACCAGGGAGATGCAGATGGGGTACCCGCCACGGGCCAGCGCCATGCTCCTTGCCAAGGAGGGGGCCTCAGGTATTTCCAGAGTCTAGCTCGGGGTCAGGGTTCCAGGAGGCGCCTCTCAAATACGTACTGCTGTCAAATGGATGCTCGCCCTCGGGCTGGCCAGGGGAGCAGACGCCGTGCCTGCTCTCGGGTCCCTGATGCAGGAACGTCAGCCACCACTTGTAAACGCGAGGACCTGGGCTCGTCGGGGGAGGCCGACTCGCTCACAGCCTGGGGCCGTCAGGGGCACAATAAGGCAAGGCCTCGGGTCCCCCTGGGGCTGTCCCTTAGGTCACTCTATCAAGGGAGAAAAGCACTGACCTGCCCTGCAAATAATCCACAGACTCCGATTATACACAGGATGTTGAACACTGCGGAGCCCACGATGGTCCCAACGCCGACATCGCCATGGGTGATGAACACGCCTGGAGGGGAGGCAGACATGCTCTCGGGGCTGCCCTTCCTCAGACCCCGGCGGCTGTGAGGACTGTGTCCCAACCCGGGGACCGAGGGACTGTTCTAGAATGCCCGTGATGCTGAGAACGGCAAAACCAGAGAGGAGGAAGTGCCCCGGAGGACGAGCTGCTCCGCTCCTCCTCCCCGTGCTTTTCCTTTTTACCAGCTTTACTGAGATAGAATTCACATGCTATTAAACCCACCCCTGCAAAGTGGACACCCCGGGTCACGGGAGCCCCAGAGTGGCGCAACGAGCACACCATCCCATTTTAGAACATCTTCGTCACCCCCCACGAGAAACCTTGTACCCACCAGCCCTTCGCTCCACCACACGCCCCCAGGAACCACGAGTGTGCTTTCCGTCTCCCTTGCTGTCCCATTTTACAGAGGAGAAAACAGAGGCTCAGAGCCAACGAACACCCTCGCTGGGCAGGGCACCAAACCTGGGCTCCCTCCAGAGCCGGGGTCCCCGGCCAGTGGCATCTCTTACCAATAACAGAGGCAAACAGCTCAGGTGTCGAGCTCCCCGCAGCCATGAAGGTGGCTCCGGCCACATCTTCACTCAGGTGGAGTTTCTGAAACAGAAGTGACCGCAGACACTCAGGCCGTGACGTGGCGACAGTGGACAGGGTCCCGGATGCTCTGGCAGCCACAGAAAGCGCGGGAGGCAGTGAGGTGCCTGGGCTGGCGGGTGTCTCCTCCTGCTACTCTGTTGGCCACTCAACCCACAGTCCCTTGTCCCCTTCCTCTGTCGGTTCCTGCTCATTCCCCGAAGCCCCTAAATGAGGTCTGCTTGATGACGCCTTGCCAGGTGTACGCCCAGGGCGGGTGGGAGAGTCTGACTCACAGAACCCATGGTGAGGGTCTCGGGTCTGTGAGCCTGCCTTCCCCACTGGCCGGCGCCGTAGGTCCTTCTCACCCACGGACTGTCGGTGCCCGAGAGAGAGCCTGGTACACAGTGGTGCTCACTGCTTAGCCACCGCCAATGCCCACACAGACCTTGGGTACCACGCAGACTTCTACACACCAGGGCTACACACACAGCCAGACACGCAGCCTGGCTCTTACATTCCAGAAGGCCTTCTCCACGGCAGGCCCGGTGCCTGGCTGCTCAGATACAAAGACCCAGGTGCCCCATGCCCCCAGGGAGAAGGCAGCACAAGGCAGGGCTGGAGCTCTGTTGAGACACTTTGGTTGGCAAGGCCGCGCCCCGTCCCCAGAAGCCCCTCCTCTGATCGGGAATGCGGTGCCGGGGACTTCAGACGCAGGGAGAAACCACCAAGATGCCCGGTCTCCCTGAACAGCACTGTTTTTTTTTTTGTTTTTTTTTTTTTTAAGTTTACTTTTGTTTATTTGAGTGAGAGAGAGCAAGCAGGGGAGGGGCAACGAGGGAGAGAGAGAACCCCAAGCAGGCTCAAACTATCAGCACGGAGCCTGATGCTGGGCTCGAATTCACAAACCATGTGATCACGGCCTGAGCCGAAATCAAGAGCCGGACGCATAACCAGCTGAGTCACGCAGGTGCCCCCCTGCCTGAACACACCTTGAAGGCGCCCACCCTGTGGTACTCAGAGGGCCGCTGGCCAGGGCTTGGTCTCCTCTGGCATCCACCGTCCAAAGGACCCTGGGCAGCCTGGCACTCCGGAGCCGCTGAGAACCACAGAGGCCAGCACACCCTCCCTGCTGACCTTGCTATGGAAGGGGTCCCTCAGAGGGGTCAGAGCTCTGGGCTTGATGGAACCTGGGGTGTGACACAGCACGGAAGTGCCAGGGTGGAGAGCCGGCCCCCCTAACCCTATCAGACAGGAAAGTTTCACAGAAGATGTTCGCTATCCAAGCTTCTCCAGTATCTTCTAGCAGAATACAAACTGCCTGCCTTTGCCTGGGCTCTTCCTTCCTCCTGGAACGCCCTTCTCTGCCCTCTCTGCTTGGAGAAATCCTTCCCTTTCAGAAGTCTGGACCAAATACCACTTCCTCCATGAAGCCCTCCTAGGCTTCTCCCCAAAAGAGACATTCCCTCCCTCCTTTTGGCTCTTCAGTCAGTTGATGACTCTTATGAGCCCCTTTCATTGGTTTTGCCTTTAGGGCCAGGACTGTCCCGCTCTTTCACCTCTGTGTTCTTACAGAGATAGGCAAACTTGAGGGGCACCTCCACTGCATGTGGTCCTGTGCCATTGGTCACCCATCTTCCACAGGCTTCGGTCACCCCCAGAAGGGCAGGGGACCCAACCCTATAGCTGGGGTCCCACAAGCCCTTGCCCTAGTGAGTGCCCAGAGCGCGTGCTCTATAAGGCCTGGCTGACCGTGGCTTTCCCGAGGGTCTCCTCCTCCGAGGAAGCGACAGGCTGCTTACCCTCAGCACACCACTTCGGGAGCCCAGAGGTGGCACCTCCTGCCGCAGCACCCCCAGCAGCCATTTCCTGATTCTCTTCTCACACTCCTTCCCTGGCTCAATTCACTCACTGACCCGTGGCTTGGTCTGAGCGGGGTGAGAGGCAAAGTGGTGGGCGAGGGGGGCCCGGGGAGGGGAAGGCCTCTGCACACCTCTGCCAGGTCATCCCCTCTTCAGGAGACCCAGGTCAAAAAGCCCCTGTTCCGTGCTCAGCAGCAGGGAAGCACCTGTCCAAGCGAGCTGTGTCCCTGGCTGCAGATGCCACAACAACTAGGTGGCCTCACGGAGCAGGGAGATTTCACAGGGATGAAGTGTGCCAAATCTGAGCTATCTGCACATAGGAGGTGCTGCGAACAGAGGTAAGTTTCCTTCTCTGGCTAGAAGCCAAGAGTGAGGCAGAGCAGGGAGGCACACTGGAGACTTAAAAAAATTTTTTAAGATTTTATTTTTAAGTTAATAACCATGCCCAACATGGGGCTAGAACCCACAACCCCAAGATCAAGAGTCACATGCTCTCCCGACTGAGCCAGCCAGGTGCCCCAGGACTCGAGTCTTAAATGTGGGGGGAAAAGACAAGAAAATCAAACTACTTAAAAGGAAAAAATAGGGGCGCCTGGGTGGCTTAGTCGGTTAAGCGTCCGACTTTCGCTTGGGTCATGATCTCGCGGTTCGTGGGTTCGAGCCCCGCGTCGGGCTCTGTGCTGACTGCCAGCTCAGAGCCTGGAGCCTGTTTCAGAGTCTGTGACTCCCTCTCTCTCTGACCCTCCCCTGCTCACGCTGTCTCTCTCTCTCTCTCCTAGAAATAAATAAAACATTAAAAAAAAAAAAAAAGGAAAAAAAAGTCGGCCTGCGAACTTTGGAACCAAGGGCATTCCTTGCTCAGCCTCTGCGTCCTCTCCGAAGACCCGGATCCCTACCTGGTGCCCCCACCACAGCTTGTTGTGGGAAATGCCCCTAACCAGTCAGACGTGGCTTCACGCCAAGGGCTCGTCGCACAGCCAGGCATCCCGGGTGACGACCGCACACCTCTTCTTCTGCCAAGTCTGGGAGAAGAAACCCCCTGCCGACTGGACTCCGGGGTCGCGAGGCCAGGCTTTGCCGGGGCTGGACTAAGCATTTGGGCTGACAATCGTCACCACCAGAGTGCTCCCCACTCAGTCCGGCACAGACGTGTCCCATGTCCTCTGTTGCCCCAGCTATGCTGAGGCATCCCAAGTCCCTCCTCCGTACCTCGCAGATCTTCTCTAGAGATGGAACGAAGAAGTCTTCACACACTATGGCCAACGCGTAGAACATGTACAGAGCCTGAGAAGGAAATGGGAGATGGTCAGCGAAGGTGCCGGCCGCCGAGGGGGCACGGCCGGGCATCCGTCACGCCCAGAGCCAGCCTGCCAAGGCAGAGACCCACACAGAGGAAAACTCTAGCACCACAGAGGGTGACTCCCTCAATCCGCTCACAAGCAGGTGGGGAAACTGAGCCTGGGGAAGGGATACAATACGCTGGGCAGAAAAGGGGAGGAAAGCTCAGGCCACATGGTCGTGGGCTCCTTCCTCTGCTCCCGAAGCACCAGCTCTCTCCCTTGCACCAGAGCACACTCTCGAAGTCAAGATCTCACCCTTAGGGCCAAGGAGAGCATTTAGAATCACCATTTTAAGAGATTAAGATAATAATTATCCCAATTTGCCCATTCAGTTTTAGTGAAGGCACCATTTTCTTCTTACCAGCTGGCCACCCCCTGCTGAAACAAATGGCAATTTGAGAGCCGGCGGTACCTGGGATGCTACCTAATGTTGGCAGAGGTTAAAATACACAAGCTGTTCACACTGGGAGGTTCAGGGAACAAAGAGTCCAGATTCCAATGCTGATTCTGGGACTCAGTTGCCACGTGACTTTGGATAAGTCACACCTCCAGGTCTCCGTTTCTTCATGTGTTTAATGGCAGAGTGAGAACAGATCGATGGTTTCCAAATGCTTTTATATACTGAACCCTTCCCTGCCCTGTCCATCCCACATGGTTTCCCTGAGCTTCTCCTATGGGCCAGGCACGATTCCAGGCATCAGGGATACATGGGTACATTGTCAGGGAATGCTTCCGCCTCCTGTAACTTACCTTGGTGGGGGACACATAGACAGAGTATAACTGTTGGGGAAAGGCAAGTGCAAAGGTCCTGAGGCAGGATTATGCTTGATGCACATGAAGACCAGCAAGGTCGCTGATGCAGGTAGAACAGAGTGAGACGGAGATAGAAAACAGAGGATGTGAGGTTGGAGGAAGGCAAGGACCAGGGTCTACAGACAGATGGGACTTTATACTAAATGCTGAGGGAAGGATTTCTTTCTTCAAAGACAAAGTGATGTGGATGTTCTATTCACAGAAATGGGAAAGGCTGGGCTCCTTCAGCAAAAACAACTGTGAAGGTGCTGAAGTAGCATACTGGCTAATGGCAATTAAATAAGCTGGAAGGTGGATCGGCTGTGGCCCAGGCCTCCTAGATGGGCGTCTCCTGGAGGCCAGGCATGGCCGCCCCTGGAACTAATTATCTTTCGGAGGGTGGGATGCAAAAAGAAACAAATACGAGGGGTATGGGTAAAGGAGAGAGACGCTGCTGCAACAATCTCCAGATATGGACTGGAATTCACCCCCCCACCCCTATAAATTCTCTCCAACATCATCTCCCAGGCAAAGGGTGATCTGCGGGACCCTAGCTCTCTTCATTCCCTCACAAATACTCAAGAGAAAAGGAGGCCAAGACAGCACCACACTGCTCAGGCCAGGAAATTCTGAGAAGCTTCCCAGTGCTGCAGACAAAAGCCGGCTCCAAACCTTGAGCCTTTCCTTGCACTAAAGAAGGGTCGGCAAAGTTCTTCTTAAACAGTCAGCAAATATTGTAGTCCTGAAAGGTCACATGGTCTCCATCCAGCGCAATGACTCCGCAACTATAGAAGAGTACATGGTGTAGGTATGGCTGAGTTCCAATAAAACTTTATTTATAAAAACAGGAAGTGGGGGGGGCGCCTGGGTGGCTTAGTCGGTTAAGTGTCCAACTTTCGCTTAGGTCATGATCTCGCGGTTCGTGGGTTCGAGCCCCGCATCGGGCTCTGTGCTGACTGCCAGCTCAGAGCCTGGAGCCTGTTTC